AGCCACAGGTGCCGCCGATCAACAAGTTTCAATTTACTACTGAGTTACATATGGTGTTTGTTTTTCCATTCTTGCAATACTTCACTTATAAGAATGGTCTCCAGGTCTGGTAGATTTTCTTTGTTGGATTTTTATTGTTATAAATAGTGTTTAACAGGGTAAGATGATTATCATTTATATTCTATCAAATATAACCTTTTCTTTTTTGTAGCCAGTTGAAATTATTCTCTTATTTCATAATATTTTAGGGGTTCTATTAGAGAAGTATAAAGAAAATTTAAAAATCATAAAAAATTTTGAATGACAGAAACTTTGATTGGCAATATTTTTAGTTATCAGTGGAAATGGTAAATATTAAAAAATCTCCAATATTTAGCCCACATAGCATTTCCTATGCATCATGGTGAAAAATCATCTCTCAAGTGATCTTTTCACTTTTTTCTCTAGACTTTCTTTTGATGTCCTATAGATAATAAAACCGACAAGCTATTTTCTTTTAAGGAATTACTTGAAAACTCAAGGACAGGCATGTGCTCCATAGAAACTGTTAACTGACAAGCTTCACAAGATTAAATCAGAAAGTCCTATGAGAAAGACAAGATCCCTAGGTATTTAAATGTTTAATACAGGAAGACAATCTGAAAAAAAAAAAAAAAACATGTGATGGGTCACCTAGCCTTATAAATAGCACTTTCATTCACATCAAACTGCTATTTGTATAGGTAAAAAATAGTAAAATATCAACAGTTCCCTGTGATTTGACCTTAGAGATCATGGGTCTTAGAACACAAAACTGATCATGGTAACACATACCCATATAAGCCCAGAGTAATCAGTCATTAAGTCATTCCATGAGTACCACACACTGCTCTAGGCATCTGGGGCACAGAGGGGCTCAAAAGAAAGTGCTCCCTGTACTTGGGGAGTGTATTTGAGGAAAGTGGCACATGGATAAACAGGCAAAGAATGTGCCCAGCAGTAACAAGTACTGTAAAAAGAGATGAATGAAATTAAGCAGACAGAGGGTGACAGGGTAGGATAGGGTCAACAACAAGCTTCCCTGACAATGTAATATTTGAAAAGAATCTCATATAAGATTAGGGAGCATGCCAGGTGGTTATCTGGGACAGGACCGTAGGGGCCAGAGGAAGGAAAATGAAAACAAATTGGAATGGGAGCAGATTCTGTGTGTTCAGAGAACAGGGAGACCTGCAGGTGAGAGTGCCGTGGAGAGGCGGGAGGCGGCGGGGGTCAGAGTCTGCTGGGATGTGAGAGGAAGCAGAGCCAAGGATGACTCCAGGCTCTCGGCCCAGGCAGAGGGGACGTGTGGATTCACAAGATAGGAAATAGCGAGGAGGGTGTTTGTGTGGAGACTGCATCAAGTGTTCTGTTTGGCACATTCCAAATTTCTAGAATTCTTCAGTCATTCAGACTGTCACGTTGAATTAGACTAAATGTAGAAGTCTAAAGTCGAGGTAACACCATGGGTTGGAGATGTGTAGTAGACAGTTTTAAAGTATTTAATAATATTTAAAGATCATTGATAACACACATACTTTTTCCTTATCTCTTTTAACTGTTAAATCACAATTTTGGGTTTTGGGGGGGACTCTTTTTGAGGTTTAAAAAAGAGAAAGTGTTATAATTTCCTTTTTAAGTGGCTTTAATGCCAGTGGTAGTATACGTGCAGGATCCGGAGAAGCTGAAGGTAGCCACCGTCCATCAAAGGTCTGAGTCATCAGCAATGCTGGCAGAACAGCAACCACTGACGTTAGAAGCAAAGTGTTATACTATTGATACTACATACAATTATGTTAAAATGTGTATGTATATGCACGTATTTTAAATTAGAAGGGTAAAGTTGAAGCTTTTACTTTTGGTTCTACGTGTTTTATAAACACAAACATTGTTCACATAGTCTATAATGAACAAGCATTTATCTATGAGGCTTGACAATTAAGTTTGTAAACTCACCCTAAAAAAGTGCTACCTACCTCATTGCTGAGTATCACTACAGTGACCTTCGAAGTCCTTCCCTCGGGAGGCTACACGCCAATGCAAGCGCCTAGTCCACACTTCAAAGCAATTTTGGAACTCTTTTTCTGCAATAGTCACCAGAGCTATGGTCATATGAGATCTGACAATTAAATTGTCAAATCCACCTTAGAAAAAGTGCTTTAAAGGGTGGACTAGGTGCTGGCATCTGGGCATAGCTTCCCAGCGGGAGTACTTCAAAGGTGACTTAAGAGACATTCAGCAATGAGGTATATGGCACTTCTAGGATGAATTTGCAAACTTAATTATTTGACTTTGTATTACTCTTATAATTTAAAAAGCCAGAAATTATAGAAATTACATGGAAAATGTATAATCATTTAACTTATATATTGAGATTTTACCTCTAACTAAAAGTTTAAAACTCGATTAATTTATCATGTATTAATAATCATGTATCATGTATTAATTTATCATACCATATTTAACCATATTAATTATAGTACACTCTTGTTAGAAAAAAATTATTAAAAGATTTTATTATTTTAAAAAATTTGCAGGGGGGTAAATACCTAATAGTAGAATTGCTGGATAAACTGGTCGGTCTACTTTTAGGTTTTTGAGGTATCTCATTTTCGCAGAGGTTGTACTAACTTGCAGTCCCACCGGGCTCTGTTTCTTCCTCCCCACATCCACGCCAACACTTGTTTGCGGACTTTCTGATAAGAGCCATTCTCACCAAAGTTAGGTGACATCTCACTGGGGTGTGGATGTGCATTTCTCTACTAATTAGAGATGCTGAGCATTTTTTCATGTGTTTGTTGGCCATTAGATTAACATCATATGAAAAAGTTCTGTTCAAGTCTTTTGCCCACTTTTTAATGGGGTAGTTTGATTTTTTTTCTTGCTGATCTGCTTAATCTGTGTAGATTCTGGTTGTTAGCCCTTTATCAGATGTATAGCATGCAAATCCTTTCTCCCATTCTGTGGCTTGTCTATTTACTCTATTGATTGTGTCCTTGATTGTGCAGAAACTTCTTAATTTGAAAAGGTCCCGTTTGTTTATTTTTATTGTTGCTGTGATTGCTTTTGGGGTCTTCAATACCTATAAGAATTTTTCTAACATTTTTTTTCATAATTCCTATTGTTTCATGCCTTAGGTTTAAGTCTATTACACATTGCAAATCAAGTTTTGTAAGTGGTGAGGGGTGTGGATACTGTCTCAGTCCTGCTTTGTGGCTATCCAACTTTCCCTGCGCCATTCATTGAATAGAGATTCTTTCCCCCAGTATATGTTTGCTTTATCAAAAATTTGATGGGAATATGAAGATGTTTCATCTCTGGGCTTTCTGTTCTAATCCATAGGGCTATGTCTCTGTTCTTGTGTCAGGACTGTGCTGTTTTGGTTACTATATACTTGTAGTATAGATTGAAGTCCGGTAAAGTGATGCCTCTTGCTTCGTTCTTATGATGTAAGGTTGCCGTGGCTGTTCAGGATCTTTTCTGATTCCATATTAAGCATAGAATTATTTTCTATAAATCTGCAGAATTCCACTACTACGTATTTACCGAAAGGAAAAAAAGGTAATTTTATTATAAATACAATTGCACTTGAATGTTTATAGCAGCACGATTCATAACTGTAAAGGTGTGGAAACAACCCAAGTGCAGACAATACACGATTGGATTCATAAAATCAG